GTAGGAACAAATGACAGTGAGGGGCAATCATATGGTGGTGCTGATTTCGCAGCAGACTACTTGTTGAATTTCAGCGAACAGCGGTTGTGCTTTGTCACCACCGGATGATAACTTGTCCAACCAAACAAAAACACGTCATGAGATTTACCAGGTCTACATATATATGCAGACTGTGATAATCATGCTACAAAGTGTTGAAATGACTGATCCTACTCCACACGACCCACCAAGTCAGGGGCAACCTGAAAAGTTATCAAACCTGAACTCCAGGCAAAAGCTAGTTAGCTGTTCACTTTTTGCCGTCCTGTACCACTTCACATATGCACCTGAGATCAATCGATATGATACGCTGATAAGAATCACTTTCGTCTGCGCGCCAATGTATACAAAGTTCTCAGTGATCCAGCAGAAATTCCACCTTTTCATCTAGCATTCGAAACGTCAGTAGAATATCCAAATCTGTCTACATTCGATCGATACCAGCGTCATGATGTCGGCGATGTCATCCTTGGGAAACGACTGACCCAAACAAGGGTACTCGCAATCTGTACTACCGTGGCAATTTGCATTTTAAGTGTAGCGATCTGGAAGCTTACCTCATCTTTTCACTTTGGTGCGGTGAACGGTCAAGTAACGGTTCACTAATTGTTTTAACCATTTATCACTGACGAGTAACTCTGAGATAGATTACTGCCTGTTATTTGCCTTCAGGTAGGTCCTACGTACGCAATGCAGCTGACGTTCATTGTAGGATATTTCCTTTCGATAGTTCAATAGTGTATGATGGGATAAAAAGCATAGGTTCACAAGACCCACGAGATGGATACTTGTATATTGTATGAACACTCCAGTCTACATTGGTGGTCAATCCAAGGTGAGTGGCGCTATATCACATCTGGTAACTTATTCACCATGGTCGTTACCGTCCCCCGTAGCTCAGTGGTCTCAACCACGGACTGGCAAGAGTCGAGTTGCGGGTTCGAGCCCTACCAAGGGTCCGATGGAATGTGCACTGCTGCTGATTCCCGAATGGATGAAACGCGCGTACAGTGCTCTACCGGGCGTGTGGCGGCTGTCTGAGTGAGTCTAGATGTGACGAATTCCTACCTATACCATTCAACTCCCTATACTACTCTTCTGCAATGTCTGTTTGCTCAGGACTTTTGCCAGCAGCTAGCTGAACATATGTTGCTCCGTCAACTAACTTCAGAACGCGAGAGAAGCATCCAACATCGGATGATATGCTACGATAGATTAACCCATGCTCATGAGAACGTCAGTGGACAGCCTTTTGTTTCTGACTGGCTATCCAAATGTAATGTATGATTGCAAATGTTGGGTAAAATACCTGAAGAAAAAGTTTGAAGTAATACTCTATGTTACATTCAGCATAGTATCTAGCTCCTCGGGAAGTATCTGACCCGAAACAATTTCTCAGCAAATTCAAGAGATGAATCAATGCATATCGAAGCTCATAACTCTGCTGGTAGAAGCGAACGTTTCGCTAGAACTACTAACGGGTACGGCAGTAAAAAGGCGCAGTGTGGCATAATTTAATAGTCCGTTCTGATTTCCAAACACTCAGCAACTGCCACTTTTAACGAAACTAAATTCGTCAATGGTGACAAGTTGTCGCACTAGCTAAAACATCTTACTCTGACCAAACCTGGTCTGCGAGTAAGTCCAGAATCATGGTAACATTTGGTGTCGAATTTCTCCTTTAATCCTAGCTAATCACTGAGACTATGATTCTGCATCCATCGTCCAGCAACTAGGAGTCATTCACACTAATTCTACCGAGAGGTTTCGTCACTGTTACTGACATACACAACTCTATCGGTAGTGCCTGCATTCCCCGGTAGACATTAGTAGTAATACAGTGGAGCCCTTGACATGACATGCATAGGTTACAAATGTGCAAACGCATGCATTACTTGTCGGAAAATTACAGGTGAAAGCCATGTGTAATCTAAAGAATACTGCACGGCCACTGTGCTTCAGATATCTTCGAAGGTCAGGATACATCGGTAGATTATCTGCAGTTGTGCAATCATATGCCACTTAACTGTCCAATGCGCCAACCAACATGACTGAAACGTTCGAACGCTTTCGACACACTCGGTCATCGAATACTGTCCGCAGGATCTGAAGCTATTAAACCAGTTATCATGTTTTGGAGAGAAACAATGGGCTTCTCTCTCGAATCAAATGGAGTCAGAGTTCGAAGACTAAAGACCCACCTTATTCAAACCAGATGCAGTGTCCCGCAGTTCTAACTGCTGTTGCTGAGCTTGCCTCACATGTACAGCATCACTGCTGGAGGAATGAGCTCATTATTCTTTCCTTGACGATGTGGAACATGTAAATCGTTAGACATCATCTTGTGATGCATTTTTAGTGAACCCGGTCTCTCTCCTGAAATACCATCTGGGAATTTGCGCCGATTCAACGTGAGCATTGGTGAGGTAGACAACAACCATCATAAGCTACCCGGTATCCAACGCTTAGTCCCACACACCGGGAATCATGTAGCAAAGGTATGTCCCTAAGCTGCTATCCCTGGATAACTTTATCTGCTAAGAGCCATATAAGAAGGTGCAAACACTTAGAAATTGCCGCACTGATTTCGTGTGCATGGCGCTGGCGTGTGCCTGTGAGTGAGTTGCTCCGTTCGGAACTTGTGGTCACGGCCGTCAAGATCATGCAATGACAAATGCCAAGTCTACCGGGGACATGTCCTACTGCACCTAACATCTGAACGAGTAAGCATGATGATCAATCGGAAGATAGTATGGAGATTTACTGGACTATCTTAAAAAGGCGTACCAAGCGCCTGAAATAATACCTAGGTACATTGCTTTCTTTGTGACCCAGTTAAAATACCAAACTGAGGAGACATATTCCAGCAACACAGTCCATTTTCTTAAGCTTTGAGCATGTCAGACCTATGTCACTTCTTCAGATTTACTTGACGTTTTTGTGAAACGAATCCTCAACTCATCAGTCATCCTCAAAAACATTTAAGTACTATGCCTCGCAATAGTGGCATATTTCACTTTAAATTTTTACTCTTCGCGGACGACATTAAAATTTGACAGGTGATCAAAAGGTTGGACGACTACGAGATCTTACAGCAAGACGTCGACTCGGCCTGGAATTTATCGGCGAGGAAGGAGCCGCCATACAATTCAGACAAGTGCCGCCTTGTCCGTCATCAGCACACCTATTATACAGCCTGGGGGCGCACAATCTGCAGACCACATCTCAGGGACGTGACTTCGGTGTGTTGGTACAGGACAACCTTAGTTGTTCCAGATAATTAGAGTCCGCATCGAAAAGGGCTAACCAACATGTTGGTTGGAAATTCGGGAGCTGGGATTCATCCATCTTCTCTCTGATGCTCACTGCCTACGCACGTCCCCATGTCGAATACCCAATCTAGGCTTGACAACTTTGCCTAAAGTGTGACCTTTCAGCACTGGAAACTCCCCAACATCGAGAGAGAAAGTATCCAAGGGGTTACGCAACCTTCCGTATCAGCAACGACTAAAGATACTCGGAGTGTTCAGTGCAGGCTACTGGTGGCTACTTGGAGACCTCATATTAGTTTACCAAAGATTGAGCTATCCCGGTCACATTTGCCGCCACCTTTTGGAACACAGCCCGAACACCAACTTAAGAGGCAATAGCCTGAAAATGAGTCAACAATACAGTCGTCTAGAATGTCGACGAAAGTATTTCTGCTTCTGGGTCTGCCAACCTTGGAAAGCACTTCCAAACCCATTATTTTGTGCTCCCAACTTATTTGCTTTCAAAAGAACGATTAGATATCGAATTGAACACTCTACACTTTGTTACATGAATGCATATTTTTGCTATATTCGGGCTAACAAGCATCTCTGGAATACTGACCCACATGGACTCTCGTAAGACGGTGCAAAAGGAGGAGTAAATTGCTTGTTCTTTGCAATGAATATTAACTGTAACAACCTGTTGTGTCGTTTTGCGTGATACTACCTCACTCCCACAACCCTCCTTCTACACACCATCACTCTATCACTTCAGCGATGCGTATTTTATTTGGCCCACTTTCTTCTATCACCAACCTACCGGGCATATTAGGCATGTGCTTTTTCCCGTTACACACGCTTGTTTCATTGTTTTTAGTTTTTCCTAGAGAATAAATCATCACTCACAATTTTGAACATTGTTAGTGAGAGTTTATTTGAAGTTTTTTCAGGTGCATTAGCAAAAGCTGAATGTTTACTCGGGATCCGTGTATGCTCTGAGTCCTCTGATTGCAACTGTGGAGAAACACTACTACTTGCTCTATTAACGTGTCAGCTCTAATTCCCGATGACCACCGCATGTGTTCATCACGAAAACACTGCTGAACCACTAGTGGTTCAGATGTCCATAGGGTTCGGAGCAGCAAACACTTTAGACTTTCGGTACTTTGTTCAACTGCAAATTGTCTACTACTTTACTGTAGTTGGAACGCGTTCGCACATAAAGCACTAATTCCACATCGTAAAATTACGGACTGGGAAAACAGACGAGTTAGACATGAATTTCCTTTCAGCGAGCCTCCTCTATTTGTCAAGCACCTAGTTTCATACTAAGGTGCTCTTTACTGTGCGTTTTAGGCATATTTTAAACTGTGTTCAATTGATTCAAACTCTTCGGTTTGGAGTTGGCGAACGAACTTCGACAAGTCAGACCCGGCATATTGTCCAGTTCAAACTGTCGATTACTGCTGACAGAATAGTTTCTGAACGGAAGTAACGGATTCCTAAAGTGACACAGAGCAATGCGCATAAATTTGCGCATACACAAGTTAGCAAAACAAGTGTCTGGACTAGTGAAAGCAAACTTAAGCAAACCTTTAGAGCTATACATTGGCCACGTTAATTGATCCGATTGCAATCCGGGCATTTTCACGTAAAACATATCGCTAGAGCTAAGTCACTCTTTTTGCTGCTGCGTTTGCCTTGTTGTAGATTTGGATGAACTACAGTTGACACTGGATCCACAAAGCTATGACTACATGATACCTAACGAAGGTTTTGTTGGCTTCCGCATACTGCTGCATTCACGAGGAGATCCCCTTTGGACTGCAATGCCCGGATCCATATACGCTGGACCAACCTTTCACACCATGCTGCGAGTAGTTAGTCTAAAAAAAGTAAGTTGTCTCTCATGGATAAGGAAGGCTCTGAATCCATGTGCCTCTCTTCATCGGTGAGCGAAACCCACTTTCGCCGCGAGTTCGCATTGCATGCATGCCACTGATTCTTGCTCATTTTCACTATAATGCTTTGCGTATATTTGCTCGCCTACGAGTCTCAATTATCCTTCCTCATTACAGGACGGTGAAACGGTGAGGCTTACCACAAGTATTCCGCCAGTAGACCCGTCTGCTTCCTATTAATTTCTCACCCTAAATTGTCTACGCCACTTCATTTCGGGTAGTCGGTTTGGTCAAACATCGCTGTGGGCTCCCCCCACGCGGCTTCACTATTCAGCCGAACAAGCATAGAACACTATTGACTGCCTCCTAGTTTGCAGACACCGAGCCCCAGACACCCGGGATCTTACGAGGGATGTTGTTCAATAGAGCGAGGGAGCTTTGAGCCCGCTATTTTATCCAGTCTATAGTTGATTACATGCAAGCACATGCCCTCGATTGACGCACTGGGTACTTCAAAGGGAATAATCGCCTGAAGTTGTGTAACAAATTGTTTCGGTTCCACTTATGCTTAAGAATCCGTTGCGAAATGCCCCATGGTAACAGCAGTCAGCTTCATGTACTGCATCTGCAAATAAGTATACTGTAGGGATAATATTCATTTGTCCAACTACAACCTTACGCGCGCTCTTCATCAGAACGCCGGCACGTTACCTGAGTCTTAACGATGCCCTGGGGAAGAGGTTCAACAGTAACCCAACCTTCACTTGGTAACTGGAGCGGGGAAATCGACGCCGAATCGTGTCGGTGAGTGAGCCATATTTTTTACTTGTTACACTTCGTAAATGGATAACAAAAGTTAGAAGAACTCTTTACCCAAGTGCTTCAGTTCATGATTTACCAGTGTGAGACAACATTGGCCAACGTAGGCAATGTCGTACCTATGAGCGATACACATGCAAACACGAAACGAATGTAGGGCTGGCATGCCTCTGGTTACATCCACACACCTTCCAGCCATGTGAAAGTGGGACGGACAACATGATTTGCTGACCAGATAAGATAAAATATATTCTCGACTAGTATTAATCTCTGTCACTCGTTCTGGCCTCTTTATAAGCAGGCGATCTGTCATACCACCTATTAGCAAACACAGTATACATGGATGACCTAACCTTTTGAGGTCGAGTCAAAGTAATGCACACGCACCACTGAATGGAATAGAATATGCATACGCTTCTCATTTTTAAAGCGAAATGTTACCTGCGTCCGATACGTCCGCCTTGGTCGAAGTACTGGTGGTGTACTTCAAGGTAACTAGCGGGCAAACCGAGCTTGCGCACCGCATTGCAACCGCACAGCGGGTTATGAAAATATTGAGATGGAATTCTTAACCGTTGTAACAACCGTTGGCCGCGGACTTAGGTGGTTTACTAATCTACGTGTTGGTCAGTAACTGTATCATCAATGTATGGAATTCCAACCACAACAGAGTCAAAAATAGGACGGAAGCATTGCTTAAACACACTACTTTTGGGCATTTAAGTCTCTTGTGATGAGCATATGGTTATATAAGCATTTTAACACAACCCGCAAAACGTCCGTTAGTTTGTAGTCAGCTTCCGATGTATAGTTTGGTTGGTGACAAATTACGGTTACTAGACATAAGTCCTTTATCTGCAGCCATTGCCGGCATTTAAGTGATTCATGGACGCGAATTTCTAGGTGATGAATAGGTTCCAACTAGTGGCTATTTTTTTATTAACACCACTGGGTTCTTAGTCGCAAGTTTGACATCAAATAAATGCCAGAGCTCGAAAAGTTCCTTAATAAGTTATAGTGACCGACAGTGTATTCCAAGGCGCTTTGCGGTCCAGATTTCCGGTCATCTTCACTTACTTACCTTGACTGAATGAACTGCGTATCCCTGAACGGATAATCTTTCCACGATACCGTAGATCCCACTTGAGATAACAGAGGCCCACCATCTAGACTACGTTGTGGACTAGCAGTAGCTCTCCTGAAAGAAGGTAGACTGTCACGACACTCGCAAACTGCATTCGTTGCAGTGTAAGTATCTGCTTTATGGGCAACGCAACAGGTGTTTTTGGGTTTACACCGGTTGTAAATAGTGAGGATGGAGTAGTAAATCTTGTAACGAAAAGCAACATTCTTCTCTCTGTGAGCTCAGTCATTATGTAGCTTTGTACGATGACGGTGTTTGACGAATCTGGAAAAAGATTTTACTACTCATCGCAATAGCGCTGCCACCGGCGACTTGAGCCTCTAGCTCTTTCCTTTGTGTCGTGTCCAGTTTATTTCAAGGCTAGAATATTGATCAACGGTCCAACTGACTCACCGATTTGCTGATAGTTTCGATCCACCAGATATTCTAACCTTTGACTTTTTCACTGTATAAGTTCGCTGGACTTGTATATAATGGTGCCTCCTTTCCGCTGCCCATCTTCCTGAGTTGTGGCAAGCGCGTGTTGTGGTTATTGGGTGCGATTACTGTGGTGTACGTGTTGGTTGATTGTGCGCGTAGCGTCATGACAGTGGCTTGAGAGATGGTCTAGAGTATCGCAATCAAAGGAGCCCTATTACATCAAAGCTAGGTACGGAGGACGTTTCATTCAACTCCAACACCGGGTGCACTGACTTAGGATAACATTTTCATAAATGTAGCAGCATCAGTCTAAATATTAGGTGTGCAGTCATCAAAGACGATGCATTACATGTGTATACTAAGCACAGAAGTCAGAAACCGATACCTAGAAAATAGAGTGTTCGTTTTACTTTTTACACCGGTTTTATTTTTCCTCAGGTCAGTGATTGCGATATCTTAAATAGTTAACTAGAGACATAAATTCACAAAACTTCCAAAGATCCCAATTTCGCAAAGTGTCCTCAAGTATTTAGTGCGTGCGACGTTCTTCATCTTGGGATCCCCAGCACGGAAGATGCACAGGACCGAGGATGGTTAACGGGTAAGTCGGTGCTTTGACATTTTGCCTCTCTTTGCCAGGTCCCCACTGCAATATTTCTCCCAGTGAAGTCGTCTACTATCGAGTAAAGCGAGACGTGGTAATCGCACGCACAGCATGCGTAGGACGTGCCCAAGCCATAACTGGTGCAGCAGCAGGAATCTGTTGCTAGGAAGGCCCATTTTGCCTAAGATACAACGTCGGGTCTTACCGCTGAAAACTAGTGCTCCCACCACACACCAGCCCTCTTCCGCAAACACACTGTCGAAATCCTACGCATCCTTGGGCTCACTTCCATACAGCAGCACGGCTCGAACAAAACATTGCAGATCTTTCCCTCTATGGTGTTTTAAACGTCGAGACGATGTCGCAGGTGATAAGATTGACGAACACCGATTTGACTTAGGCAATGCGACGGGAAGCCTTCTTCTGAATGGTGCCATCGGCAGAAACGCAGGTAAACAGGTAGAAGCAGCTGTCCACTCCTTCAAGCTTCACAGGTTGAACAGTCAGGATTAGAGCAGATAGATGCCAATTGTGGAGTAGGACTTAGCGTTTCGATGGGGCAAGGGTAATGCCAGGTGGGTCGGAATAAACCGTATACTCCTGGGCTTTTCACTAAGCAAGGTTATGTCGTCAGCGTAGTCCAAGTCAGCCGCGCGGTCGTCTGAGAGAAATGCTACACCAGTAACTCGGATGCCTTCCAGAATGTGACCAAGCCATCTCAATTGATTGGCCGCATCATCTTGTGCTTCAGCTGTTTTCGCAGTTGTCGCACGTCGTTGGATTTATAATCTTTCATCGCGGTTTACTAAGCGTCATCTATTGGAAGTGTTTTCTGCAAAACAATTTCAGCATTGATTGTTTCCACCGGAGTTTCTACTTTGGGCAACTTTTCGCCCCAACTCACGTGTACAATTTCCTGCTGTTACAACCACCCACCACAGCTTTTGGACTATTTCGCTAAAGCAGTCTTCCAACTATCCAACAAACTTTTACGCATTTCATTACACCACCGTGTGTGGTAGCTACAGAGTGGACCACGTCGCTACTGGGAACCCTTATCAGTCTAGCGACCGTCAACCTTCGCCGTAAACCATGCAACGGTCATTGGGCACCATAGCCACAACACTTGCAACCCGAAAGGAAGTCCTTTGTACCAGTCGAGCATGCGCTAGGTTACTAAAATTAGGCCTGGCGTGTTCTTATTATAATATCCGTTCCCATCAAATACATCAGAGTCTATCACACCTAATTAACGAAATATAACAATATGCTGGGCTCACTTTGGTTCTGTCCAAAATCTCTATCTTACCAGGTGTTCTGTGGTTACTGGTCCACGGATCTAGAAGAGATTTCTAAAGTTTTTCAGACAGCAGCGATTTCCTTCTCTGTGGTGCACTTATGCCACCAAGTTACCCTGTTAGTTATAAACTTTACCTGAGTTACTGTCGTGCCTACATTTTACTAGCGCTTGCTGTCTAATTTCGTTTTGACATTTTGTTAGTCGTACACTGGCAAAAGCCATCCTTAAGTTGCTTGAATTCAACTCCCTGAATTCGTGTAGGCCTGCATGAGTGGGCGGACGTGCACTCATGCTTAGTCGTATTGTACAGCTTCCTCCATCAGCGCAGTACAGCGGTTTGAGAAGTTGTTTCACAGCGTAGCTAAAGTCCCATGCAACCATTTCATCCGGTGGTTCCGTTTCCTTCACACTGGTACCCGGTACTCCCAGCTGGATGCAAATGTCCTACTCCTGCGCCAGGCACAACAGTCAAGGTGAGTTGGCTCTAAATGGCAGTATCTCTGTCTGAGCCACATATTTTGTTTGAAGCTGCTCTGCGTTCTACTCTCTATTTCAACTCCAGTATGATTTACCTGATGGGTGAATAGAAATGGGCTTGTTTCTACTGAAAAGCAGAACAAGCACACCGCAGCTGTTGGAGCTACTGTTGGAGAGGTACAAAATGATACAATTCACCTTTGCACTGAACATTCGCTTCAGGACTTTTA